TGGTTCAAAAAGCCGGATAATAACAAGTTTAATTTCATCTGTTCTAAGTGTTGAAACCCACTCTGCTCACTGGTGTCAGATGTTTTATTCATTCACTCACTTGGTGATGTAATACTTTTGGATAAGTTTGCACTATATATATCTTCTTTGGGTTTATTGAAAGGCTTTCTGGGAAAAGTGGCCACACTGTATTTAGTTGCACAGTACCACAAGATTACTGAGGATGTGGCCAATAACAAGTTTTTCTGTCTCCTTTTTCTGAATCACTGAATGATCACTAGATGCCAGATCACAGTGACTGTTTGTTATTCTCTGAGGTTGTTGTGATATTTTCTTTCTCTTAAAGTGTGGATGTTTTATTAATCTTTTTTAATTCAAAATGTGTACACTCAAAAAACTAATTATCCCTAAAACATTGACTTTAAGTATTTTAATTACATGTAAATTTTTCATCTAATATTATTACGTAAGTTCAATGTAAAAGGTGACATGTAATGCAATGTTTTTCTATCATGTTAAGTCAGTTTGAATAAATGACATAACTTTGTCAGATTTGATTAAATTAATATAAACCTATAAATAAGCATTATGTCTTTATTCAATTACTACATATGAGGTTTAAGGGAATTTCTACATAAATCTTACGTGTTTATTCAAGTACTAAATATAAAGTTTAGGGAAACTTCTACATAAACATTATGTTCATATATGTATTATATGTACATAATGCATTTCAAATTAGTTATTATATTTCCTGTAATAAATCACAAAGCAACACATTCAAGAACTATAAATGGAAAATTTTATTGACAGATTTCAAAAAAATCGTCTAATGGCAAAGTGCACAAGGTTTTCCAGTAAACCTGACGGTAGTATAAAGGCTAAAGAAATTAAAAATTAAAGGTTTTCCACCAGAATAAGTATTTCTACTGTATTCAGTAACTTAAAATTAATTTTAAAATAATCTTTTAAAAAATTGTTTGCCATTCAAAGAGCCTTTTTTCAATACAATACTCAAAGCGTTTAAAATATGAGTATCCAATATCAGTTTGAACAATTCCAACATCAACAGTTACATAAAAACAAAAAATTCCCCAAGCACAGCAACAACAATGAGCAAGCCAAGCTCAACTATCCAGCACTGTTCTTGTGAGCTCACTGACGCATCTTAATCTTTAATATTTGCACCTTTGGGGACAATTTGTTGCCATCCAAGTTCATCAAAACCTTCTGGAAGATACTTCAGGTTGAGTGTGTAGATCAGGCCAAAAAGCATGGCACAACCAAAGGAAATACAGGTGCTGGTCATATAATTAGAATATCATCAAAAAGTTGATTTATTTCAGTAATTCCATTCAAAAAGTGAAACTTGTATAATGTATACATTCATTCCACTCAGACTGATATATTTCAAGTGTTCATTCTTTTTAATTTTGATGATTATATCTGACAACTAATGAAAATCCCAAAATCAGAATCTCAGAAAATTAGAATATTGTGGAAAGGTTCAATATTGAAGACACCTGGTGTCACACTCTAATCAGCTAATTAACTCAAAACACCTGCAAAGGCCTTTAAATGGTCTCTCAGTCTAGTTCTGTAGGCTACACAATCATGGGGAAGACTGCTGACTTGACAGCTGTCCAAAAGACGAAAAACACTTATAGCACAAGGAGGGCAAGACACAAAAAGGTCATTGCTAAAGAGGCTGGCTGTTCACAGAGCTCTGTGTCCAAGCACATTACTAGAGAGGCAAAGGGAAGGAAAAGATGTGGTAGAAAAAAAATGCACAAGCAATAGGGATAACCCCACCCTGGAGAAGATTGTGAAACAAAACCCATTCAAAATGTGGGGGAGATTCACAAAGAGTGGACTGCAGCTGGAGTCAGTGCTTCAAGAACCACCAAGCACAGACGTGTGCAAGACACGGGTTTCAGCTGTCTCATTCTCAGCTGTCTCACCCCAAACCAACAAGTTGTCAGTCTGGCAGTAGATGTACAGTGTGGGTCACAGTGTGTCCGTTAATAGAAGTCTGTCTGTCTTTTTCCACAGACGGCGTACTGCCGTACCTGTGATGTTTTTTTTTACAGCAAGCCGGAGTTCCAGAGAGGTATCAACAAGTGTGAAGTCCGCTCTGCCCCCTCCATCTGCACGATACTGCTGCGGTTGAGCGGCTAACTAAGCGGCGCTAACTACAAACAGCCACAGCAAAACTAGCAAAAACTGACTTCACACAAATCCATTCACAAGCTCCTTCACCCATAGTCAAACACACACGGCTGCTTATTTACTAGTGAATCACACCAAAACCTCGTGCTAACGGCTGAAGCTAACAAAGCATTGCACATACACTTGCATTTACCAAAAACTATGTCTTTGTAAAACATATAACACATTTAAATTGACGTACTTCTAAAATGACACATTGCTACACAGTGAAACAACAAATGAAAAACGACTGAACTTATAAAACTTTAACGTTCCCGCTCACTCAAAAGAATACAGGGCAATGAGCAGATTATGCACATGTGCAACAGAAGGACATGCATGCAGCCTGCTTTTGGAGCTAGTAAAGTTTATTCGATTAGTTTACTTTCAGTTTATATTAAGCATATTTATGGTGTGTTTAATTATTTTAACTACATACGCTTTTGATATTATGTATTTTAGTTACATTTTACATAAAATATCACTTCATATTTATGATGGCCAAAAATCATTCTAAAAGTTTACTCTGTTTACATTCAGTTTATATTAAGCATATTTACGTTGTGTTTAATAATTTTTAATAAATTAACTTTTGATTGCATGTATTTCAGTTACATTTTACTTAAAAGTATTGCTTCATGTTTATGATAACCAAGAATCATTTTTTTGAGTGTAGTTTTCCCATCTTTTAAACAGAAAATAGGAATAAATACACACATCCACAGTATACTATACTGCTTTACGTTTGCCTCCATATATTTAATATTAAAGATTTTATCATGTTTTGGTAGAGATGGGGTCATATTATGTGAAATCTTGTCGTCTTTGATGGTCATATTTTTGCATTTTAATGTAAACAGATATTTGTTTTCTCTGAGGTTAAATAAACTGTTAAACCATGGAGTGGTGCTCTCTTTTTTCCACGATTATTTTTGTGCCTAAACATAAACAAACTTTAACTGTATTGTAACATCAGAAAACAGTGGCTTGGATGGCACAGGAAAATGATGTTGTCTTGGCGATAAAGGCGTCGTATCAGAAAGTGTTTTGTCCCACCAACTCTGGATGAACATATTATCTAATGTTAATGCTGTCAAATGCATAATTGGAGTGATGGTTGAGGAGCCAATTTATAGTTTGATGTTATGAAGAATGGATTACTTGGCTAGGATGACCAAGAGTTCAGTCTTAGAGAGGTTTAGTTGAAGGTGGCAGGCCTTCATCCATGTGGATATGGCTGAGAGACAATCCGTGATCTGTGCTGAGACGGTGGGGTCGTCTGGCAGGAAGGACTGGTAGAGTTGCGTACAGTCTGGAGGGAGATTTGTTCTCCACATTAATATCTTTACAGTATCTCCTCGTCAGACATTTTTTACTTATCATGGTGAATGGCTTCAGCTCGCTTTTGTTATTCGTTAAATCATTAAGGATTTCACTGGATTCCTGACTCCTCTTGGAAAAAGACAGGCAGACTCGGCAGCAAGATGCCACAGATTGGTTGGTGAAGTGGATGAACAAGAGGAAGCTGCGCTCCTCTTATACACCGCCGACAGCCTCAGAGTTGGTGCTCGACACTTGCTACAGGTAAAACATCTCTTATCTGCATGTGTTTGTCTATGGGTAGTAACTACAGCTTCAATTGCACAAAATAATTGCAGGATGACAACCTGTTCTATTATCTCATCCTCACAATTTTGGTTGATGGCAAATCAACCAAAACACAGAGGGATCTGCATTTTTTTTTGTATTTACATCGCTTCTAATTTGTTTGTCAGGACATTTGTTACTGTGTATTTTGTGCTAAATACTACTTTCAATAGAGCATTTCATTATTCTGGGACTACCTATATGCAGTATTTCTACTTACAGTGTCTTTATTTGAATTTTATGAATCCTTAAACTTTTTTCTCATCTGACATTTTCTTCAAGGCTTAAGTTTAATACTAATCCCTATATCTTGACTTTTGTGACAGCACCACTGGCCTTTCAGACAATGTTAGTAAGTACAGAAATTAACAGTAGCGCATGGCTGACAATATCAGCCTGACTAACCCGTCATCACAAAAACAGCAGGATGAAAATAAGAAGGTTATTACAAACCTGTAGCACAAAGATAATTTTTAAATGGCTAAAAATTACTAATCTTTAATAATGTTAAGCATAACATGAAGGGTTTGGTTACAGTTAAGTAATTATATACTTATACTATATCCATTGGGTTTGTGCGTTTTTTTAAATTGTTTTGGGCAAAGAGAAAGAGCAAGCAGGGTTGGGAGGATTAAATAATGAAAATATAATCCGGTACAATTACAAATTACTTGTTAAAAAATGTAATCAGTAATGTAATCCAAGTACCACAAAATAAAAGTAATGTAATCTGATTAGTTTGAGTTACTTTTGGATTACTTCAATGCCAAATAGGCAAATGAAGACGAGAGAGTATCAATGATGTGTCATTGCTATGGCAGATCTAGCCCATCAATGACAAAAAATGTTTTTTGTAGGCATTCTTGATGATATTTAAGAGTTTGTCAGTTGGAAAACCATTTTAAAAAGCTGATGATTCATTCTGCACTTGTCTTAATTTAGCGTCCAATGTAAGGATTTGTCAGTATAATGCTGCTGAAGCACAGTGTTTCTGGGGTCTGATGGACAGATGGCTTTACTTGTTGCTGAAAACTAGCTGCTGTTATTGGCTCAGTTAGCTATGCAACTACTGGTCAAATTAGCTTACTCTGCCCGTACTGGGAGATCGGAGCACAGGGGTAGTGTTAGTGTTTACCATAGACTGTATGAAGGTGTACCCCTTCACTCAAGCATTGGAGGTTTCCAGGACAGAGGCAGGGGACTCAGCAGGGAGTGATGGAGCAGTGCAGCACCTGATTGGGAACCGGAACAGGGTGAGCGGCCTACGAAACTTCAATCAGCATCCCAGTGAACACGGCATGAATGAAGACTGAACACAGCCCCAAAGACCGAACAGGGAATCCAGTTCTGAGATGACTTACACAGAGCTTCTTGATGGACAACTTTACTTTTTGTTAAACTCCTAACTGTGGCCTATCTGCCTGAATCTGTGGCTAGCGGTTCAATTGGTTTACTCAGCCCCAGGGTGCCAAGAGCCAAGCCCAGCAAGAAAACCACCTCAGTACTGTATTCCCAGAAGTCAAACTGGCCTCTATCGCTTTTGCAGGCTGTGTCCGGTCAGTTCTGGTCCGGCTGCTGTGTTCACTCACTGGGAGCTGGAACCAGTCCACACAGAGTCTGCATGACGGGGAGGGGGCGTAACCACAATTATTATCGACTGACATCACAACTTTCCAGGGTCCAAGGTGATGTCCTTAAATGTCTTATTTATTCAAAAAGTCCAAAACCTCAAGATAACTCAGTTTCCAATGATGTACTGTATATATAATAAAAGTCTCTCACTGGAGAAGATGGAACCAGAGATTTGTTGGCACTTGATTGACAGCCAATGTCTGAAATGATTTATCGATTGTCAAAATAGTTATTTTTCTGTTGATAATCTAATTGATAAATTCATTTTAACTCTAATTTATATTGTTGTTTCTTCATTAACAGATTGCAAAGTTGAAAGTGTCAAAGTTGTCCAGCACTCAAACAAACTACGTTTCACCGATTCTTCATGTCACAACACTTTCCTGGTTGCAGTGAGACAAGTGAAGCAAAAAGTACATGATCAAGTTCATGAATCGCTGTCAGTGTCCGTTACTTGTCACAGTATAAACTAGGCGTGAGTGTGAGCGTGAGTGGCTGTTTGTCTGTGTGTTGCCCTGCGATGGACTGGCGACCTTTCCAGGGTGTACTCCGCCAGCTGGGATTGGCTCCAGCCCCCCGCGACAGGATAAGCGGTTGGCGATGGATGGAAGTTGGTAATATTGATCACTGGTTGATGATGATTTTACTATTACAGGTGGCCAAGGTGTAGCTCATACTTTATATTCATTTAGCAAGTTTAGTCCAGCAGTTCCCAGCCTTTTCAAATGGTCGCAAGATAAATATGAGGGGCTGCGAGGCAGAGATGGGGTATCCAGTTAGAGACTCGTACTTGTTACAACTAAAGTCACACACAGTGACTTGAGACTCGACTTGAGATTCGTCCTCAAAAGACTTCAGATTCGACTCTGACTCAAGGTGCGGGACTCGTGAACAACGTTTATTTTCTAGAAAACTTCTGATAAGCTTCCCGTTATTCCCTCCCTCTGTTACCTATAACCTGCCTACGTAACACATCTAATGTGCGCGGCCGCACGTGAGAGAGGACAACAAACACCGCAGTTGCTGAGCCATCCATCATAAACTTTGGCTTTAAAACTTCATACAACAAGGCCCAAGGCTCAAGTTAATTATTACTGTTGGCTAGAGAGAGGTTACAGGTTTATTGTTGATCATGTAACCTTACAGTTTTATTTAGTTATGATGTTACACTGGTTTGATAGTGGGGGATGTGTTGACTTACAGTAGTTTAAGCTGTCATTGATTGCACTGCACATTACATGGCTGTGCTCTGTAAGTTAAAAACAGGTTACAGGTTTATTGTTTATTATGCAACGTCACGGTTTTATTTTGTTAACGTTAAACTGGGGAGTGTGTTGACTTACAGTATTTAATAAGCCGTCAATAATTGCATTTCACATTACATGTTGTGCTCTGTAAATAAAAAACAGGTCATAGTTACAGTATTCCTTATAGCTATGCAGTTTTATAAGCAACCTGGATTGAACGCAGCAGGTGATACAACATTCGTTATAACCACAAGAGACTTGAGACTTGACTTGGATTCTAGCTCAAAGACTTGTGAGCATCTCTGTTGCGAGGTGATTAATGTGAGAGGAAAAAAGAAAAAGCAAAGTCTTTTCTTTAATCTTCGCTTTTTTGTTGTAATATTGGTAATTCGAAAAGTTGCCAAATTTGTGTGATGGATAAAAACTACAATATGTCCCTCTGAAATGTAGTGGAGTAGTATAAAGTAGCTAGTTTTATTTTAGGTATCTTAATCAATACAAATACATCATCATTTATTAGCTGATAACATTTTGTAATAATAATCTGAATTTGCAAAGTAAGTAAAAATATCAAAAAGATGTAGTGGAATGAAAAGTACAACATTGGCTGGTGAAGTGGAAGTAAAATAAAATGGAAATACTCAAGAAAGGTACAATTACTTCAAAATTACAAGTACAGTACTTCAGTAAATGTGCTTCGTTACTTTCCACCATTGCTTGCCACAAGCAAGTATAAAGTAACATATTTTTTGCTTTGTGAAATACTGTGTAATTTGACCTCTTTGGGCAGTGAATGGTTATTTAAGTAGAAATCACTATTTGGTGGAAAAACTCACATACATCTGAAATGTGGTCCCCAAAAAGGCCCCCAACTACACGCTGCTTTTTGTAAGAGGTCAGAAGCCTAAAAGGTTGTAAACCACGGATATTAACAATGAGTTGTATTTAGAAGTTTATCATATTTTTCTTTATGTAAACTCTTAATCTGAAAAGTAACAGCAATGCAAGTAACTAAACTATCAGACAAATGTTGTGGAGTAGCTGCATGATAATCCTCTTCTCTGTTGTTCAAGACAAACACAATATGCTGGTGTTTGTTATGCACTTGTCAAAGTGCCCACCCATTCATTTGCTTAAAAAATATTTGACTTTCACATTCAAATTTGGTTAATCAAATTTGAGCCTCCAAGCTGAAAAGTCATCATGAAGGGCATTTGAGGTAAGAGAATCAAATCAAGAATCAAACGTTGTACTTGTCATCTGTCACCTGGGCTGTCAACCAAATCAATGATACACTTATTTTAATACAGTATGTAGCATATATTCTAATACAGACAGACCAGTACACACACAACATGAAATAAGTATTATTGCAGTACAATATTTGAAGTGTTTGATCACTGAAGACAGAACATTTACAATCCACCAATCCACAAGGATTCTTCAGAAGAAAAGAACCAGTACTGCCAGTTACATATAATGATATATATATATATATATATATATATATATATATAAAGATTTAGGATGCCTGCCTGATGGGTGTAAGGTTTAATATGGAGTTGGCCAGCTATAACAGCTTCAGCTCTTCTGGGAAAGCCATCCACAAGGTTAAGGGTGTGTTCATGGGAATTTTTGACCATTTTCTAGATGAGCATTTGTGAGGTCAGACGCAGATGCTGGATGAGAAGGCTTGGCTCGCAGTATATATATACTGTATATATATGCAAGAAATCAACATACATTAAATGATGCACTACGTGGGTTGTGCAAAGCCAATCAAACTGTGAATTTAACAATAAATCCACTTCACTACTGACTGGAATATACTCAGTATGGTGTAGCTTATGTTTGTAGCTGTATGGATGAATTTCTCCACTCTTTTAATGAATTGGCGTCAGACTTGACACTACTGCTGCCCCCCATAAATGCTACTATTTTATTTTGAAGGGGCTCTTGTGTCTGTATCATTGGGACTTGATCTGAGTTACTCAGTAGGCATTGCCAAATTTTTGCATTTAAGTGTATGCAAATCAATTCAAATGCACATAATGGGAAAAATGAGAAACACCAGCATCTTAAACTATTTTGACAACTGCAGTCTTGCCACCATAAGCACACATTTTGTGTTAAAGCTAATTTTTTTATAAAAAAGTTTTAAAACATGCTTGGTGTTAAATGTAATTAAATATAGATCATGGAGTGGAGTTGGAAATTAATTTTTATTGGGGGTTAGTAAAACAATGATATACATGTGTTGTGTAAATATATTAAGCTTTGAAGTTAAAAAGTTAAGATTTAATAATTTAATTCCTTATAATAGATATAGATTAAATCATATATGTTGAAGAAGAACATGACTTCATTTAATTTTTCCTAAATTAATATATTCGATTTTCTCACACATTCTGAAGCCACAAGGAAGCTGACTACAAGATGTAAGAACTGACATAGTCTGCACGCTCACTTGAATTTCGTAAACTTTATTTACAGGGTCCATACTTTTCCGTTCAATGATTACTCACCAAGCAGGTAAGAAAAGTACAAAAGTATTATTAATGTGCTTAAAATATCAAAATTAAAAGTACTGATTCTGCAGTAAAACATCCTGTCAGTCATTTATTATTAAATATGACAATATTAGATTGTCAATACTGATGCATCGATGTGTAAGCAGCATTTTATCATTGTAGCTGGTTGAGGTGGAGCTAGTTTTACCTACTTTATACAGTTAGATAGTTTATGTTCTTCAAGTTCTTCACCTAAGGATTGGGCCCTCTTCAAAGGGTCACAAGACAAACCTGACCGGTGCTGAGATGATTAATGGGGGGAAGAAGAAAAACAAAGTGCTACACTTCTGTTTATTTATGTTATTCTTTTTGGTGAAATAATTTAACCTGTCTGAGCCTTGAACAGTTATTCAAAATATCTGCAGGTCTTGAAAAGTCTTGAAAAGCATTAAATGTAGTTTTGCCCAACAAAAAAACAATAGAAGATGTTAAAAATGAAATGTTCTAATATCTAATTCTTAAAACTCTTATAATGTTCATATTTGTATTTTATTTTCTGCCTTTAATTTTACAGCATGTTCAAGCTTGTTATCAATGTCTTTCCTATGTAGATGTTTTTGATATTTTGCACTGCAAATATGTATGAAATGATCAATTCTATAATTTTAATTGTGTCAACTCTCCAGCTAATGTTGCTCTGGGTGGAGTGGCTGTTCAGTCTTCATCGTATGACTCCAACCGTAAGCCACAGTTGGCAATTGATGGCAAACCTTTTTCAGACTATCTGCATGGGAGCTGCACTGCCACTCGGTTGGAGAACAACCCCTGGTGGAGGTTGGACATGCGGGGTCCGTACAACATCTCATATATTAAAGTCATCCGAAGATCAGATTGCTGCACTTCTGACATACAGGGAGCTGAAATCCTTATTGGTAACTCAGTGGAGAACAATGGCAACAACAATCCCAGGTGATAAAATAGGTTAAACTTCTTTCACATTGTGTTCATGTTGGATATTTTCAGTTTGGAGGGGCTATTTCGTTTATTTTGCCTTAACTCACAAACTCACTTTTTGATTATTCTCCATCATCATTCTGTAAAGCCCCAGTTCCACAACCAATTCTGCTTGCTAAGGCAAGGGGGGACCCAGGACCCATTGGGTCACAACAAGTCCCAATAACCATTTAAGGCTGCAGTCAACAAGCCCTTACAGCACATACTTGCTTAACACAAGCATCACTGACCTGAGATTGAAGGGACGCTACATTTGTACTGCAGTAAATGGTGATGACGCTCCTTATGTCTGTTTCAGTGCACCAAAGGAAAAAAAGTGGCATCGAAATGAGGTGCCATAATGTGCATTCTGTCCCGTAGGTACCGGTCATATAGGAACCGATTCCCTATCGTACCGGGTTTCAGTAGCCTAGAGATGCTTGGCTAGAAGATGAACACCATGAGCCACAAAGAGCATGTGAAAATCAGAGGCCAGGAGAATAAAGCAATCTCCCTGAACAAGATCCAGTAGCTATTACAATGGCAGACATCCAAGAAAGAGTGGCAGGTATGAAGAGCTGGACAGCACCAGGCCCTGACATGATCCACACCTACTGGCTGAAGAAACTTACCGCGCTCCATGAATGCCTGGCAACACGAACCAACTGCTGATGGATGGGACCCATCCACAATGGTTAACCCAAGGACAGACAGTCCTGGTCATGAAGGATCCCCAGAAGGGAACAATCCCATCCAACCACCAGCCAATAACCTGCCTCTGCACAACATGGAAGCTCCTGCATCATAGCGGCTAAAATGAGTAGGCACATGGCTCAATACATGGACAGGGCCCAGAAGGGAATTGGCAGTAATACCAGGGGAGCCAAGGAAATGTACAAGAAGCACAGGACACTAATAACCTTCATCAAGAACTCAATAGGGCTGTGAAAAACAAGTCTGGAAGCCAACTCAATTTCCAATTGCCCAAGTCACCATCAAGTGCGGCACATACCAAAGTGATGCACTATCCCCGCTGCTGTTCTGCATAGGCCTGAACCCCCTCAGCCAGATCATCACAAAGACTGGCTATGGATACCGGTTCCGAAATGGAAAAACCATCAGTCACCTCCTCTACATGAATGACATCAAGCTGTGTGCTAGAAATGAGCGAGAGATCAACTCACTGATCCACACTACCAGGATCTACAGCAACGACATTGGAATGTCATTCGGACTGGACAAGTGCGGTTGGTTGGCATCAAAATGAGAGAAAACGATCAGAACCTGACATGTGACCCACAGCAGTCTAGCATCAGAGTGCGTCTGAATCACATGGCTTTAAACCGCCATTTTGATTCCAAAATCTGCCGGCTTTGAGCCCATTCTGAGCCCGGTCCGCGAACCACTCACGTGGCCACATTGACCCCCCTCCTCTCTGTCTCTCCCCCTGCTTTGTCTCTCACACACATGCCTGTCTTGTATGCTTTGCTTTGTTGGCTTTATTTAATTTTTGCTTAGGATAGTTAATAGTGATTTACTTGCCAGAGTTGTTGATCATTGATCTATGCTAGAGTTAAATAAATCCTATTATAATTTTAAGAAGTTGTTGCCTGTGATTATTTGGGTATAACATTTCAGTAAGTTGGTAACCAAGGCCAGTGTACAAATTCACCCCTCTCTGTTTGGCACCATCCAGCACTTTCTTATTTGGTTCATATTTAGTTACTGGTCCCTGATTCCAGGGTGTTGCCACTTATTCATTAATTATAATTAATACTTTTTGAATACTAATACTTTTATTAATATTTCTAGAAATGTTCTGATATTCAGCTAATAAACATAGTATATGTACTATATAATACAGTATATAATGGATGATTTATCTCTAAAACTGAATATAATTCAAATATAATATTTTGGCTGAGCTGTTGCATTCAGCTGCACCTTATTAACCTCATAGTAACATATATCCTGCTTCTTCATGTTATTTTTAAAAAATGTATACATGCAGACAAATCTGTAGTAACTACCATTTTGTGCAGGTTAATCAATAGCTTTGTTTTTCTGTCTCTTTGCCCATCAGATGTGGAGTCATCACTGTGACCAAAGAAATTAACATGGTCTTCAACTGCAACCAGATGGAAGGACGTTATGTCAACGTTTTCTTCCGTGGCGTAGGAAAGCTACTTCAGTTTTGTGAGGTTGAA